ATTAAGTTCATTTAGTTAGTATATTTTACTAGCAAAAAGATTTCATAGATGATTACATACCAAAACCTCAATTAAAATGTTCTAACAAGATCAACAACTGCTGTTATGCAAATGCTTTACAGAAGACAATTTACTTCTAAAAAATGTGAATCTTGTAATCAAAGTCTGACTAACGTTTAAATGAATAAATAATTACTATTTTTCATGGTAGAAAGCATGAGTCATGAGAAGTATATCTAGGAGCTCTAGTGAGAAGCAGTGACCAGTGGAGTTCAAAATCACGTCTGTTGTGAGATAGGAACTCACTGAAGACAATTGGTGAATGGTTGCTCAACTTCGTGGATCAGTTGAAGTTAGACATTAACACCGTTGGATGCCAGCTCAGTGGTCTATCGGTTAAGGGCTTCGGCTCGAGACTGGTAGGTCCTGGGTTCGAATCTCGCGAGAGCGGGTTCGTGGATGCGCACTGCTGAGGAGTCCCATAATAGGGCGAAACGGCCGTCCAGTGTTTCCAGGTTTTCCATGGTGCTCTAGCTTCAATTGACTCATGCTTTCTACTATGAAAAATACTAAATCTCCACAAAACCTCTTCTGATAATTACTATTTTTATTTATTTATTTGAACACATAAACATTGGTCAAGGTAGCACCAAACTATATATGCCCCACATAATAAAATGAGATTATGAAGAGATGGAAAAAGGACAGTGAGTATAATCAAGAAAATAAAGAGAAATTAGTGTACGAGAGTGAAATAATAATAAAAATAAAAATCATAATAATGGGAGAAGCAGCTCCGTTAAGAAAAATACAATCAGAAAGGATTTTTTCAGTTAAATTAGTTACTCTCAATTTTATCAAGAAATTAAAAGAAAGCTATACCAAGATCACCACTGCCTTCTATTCTGACCTATATCTGATAACGTCTCAAGCCATTGTGTTGCATTATCTTTTCAAGCCCAACCAGGGAGTTATGAAGGACCAACAGATGTCAGCCATCTACAACTTTCTTTCATACCTCGATAAGATGTTATAAACTGATTACGTTTCCGCTTTTTTCAACTAGTTCCGGCGTCGGCAAGTAATCCACGATGTGAAAGTCAATGGAATAGCATTTGTAGTACACATCCAAGCCACTGAATTCAGTGTTTCAAGATGGTGTGATCAACTGGAATGTTGACATTGTGCCTGAATACACGTTGATGAACATCCATATTACTGATATGGTTTTGCTATTGAATGTTGGCAATCTTTTTGAGACAAAGATGATCGAACACAGAGAACCGTTTAGTATCCTCACTTGGAGAGGCCAAATATCACAAGTGTGGAGCAAAACTACTCTCACCGATGCGTTGTAGATACGACCATTTACAGCCAGACTAACATCACGAAGGCGCCAAATGTGGTCCACATTGGCATACGTCGCTCTGGTTTCCATGATACGTGAATTGATCTCATCACTGACGCCACCACCAGAATTCATACAGTAGCCCAGGTGCATGAACTACCCGACCACTTCTACCTGCCCACTATCAAGAGTGAGTGCAGGTTCAGGGTTCTTCCGGTCTTTTAAAAGTACTGTGTAATTAGAAAGTGTAAAGGACATTATTTATTTATTTATTTATTTAAACACATATATATTGGTACAAAAGGGCACCAGATACATATGCGCCACACAAAATAATGAAAGTAGGAAGAGAAGGGATGAAAAGATAAGGCGGACTGAAATGTACAATCAGAAGACTCTTTCAGTTAAGAAAGTTAGAACCACTCTTTATGTAGAAAGTAAAAGAAGGTTGCAGCACGATCGCCACTGGCTTCTATTCTGAGCCATATCTGATAACGTCTCCAGCCACTGTGTTGCACTATCTCTAGGACCCCAGCCAGGGAGTCGTGAAGGACCAACAGAAGCTAGCCCTTTGCAGCTTTCTTTCATGCCACGACACCATGTCATACACTGACCTCCTCTCCGCTTTCTCCAACCAGTCCCAGGGTCGGCAAATAATGCACGACGTGGAAGTCTCTGGGACGACATTCGTAAAACATGTCCAAGCCACCGAAGTCGGTGTTTCAAGATGGTGACACCAATTGAATTATCGTCTCTGCGCCCGAACACACAATGCCGAACCTCTGCATTACTAACATGGTGTTGCCACTGAATGTCAGCAATCCTTCGGAGACAACGATGATCGAACACAGAGAGACGTCTAACATCCTCAACTCGGAGAGGCCAGGTTTCACAAGCATAGAGCAAAACTGCTCTCACCGACGCGTTGTAAATCCGACCTTTTACAGCCACACTAACATCACGAAGGCGCCAAAGATGGCCCAGATTGGAATAAACCGCTCTGGCTTTCCTTATACGTGCATCAATCTCATCACTCACGCCACCACCAGCACTTATATAGCTACCTAGATACACGAACTTCTCAACTACTTCAATCTGCTCACCATCCAGGGTGATTACAGGATGAGAATCCTGCCAGTCTTGTAGGAGTACTTTGCACTTGGAGGGTGCAAAGCACATGCCGTACCTGCGGACACTGATTGCCAACTGATTAAGTGCTGATTGCATGCCTTGGGCATTATCGCACAGTAAGACAATATCGTCCGCATACTCAAGGTCGAGAAGTCGTTCTCCAGGCAACATATCCACACCGCCATTACTTACATCCATCAGAGCTGTTTCCAGGATGTCGTCGATGGCAAAGTTGAAGAGGAATGGTGAGATCGGGCAACCCTGCCTAACCCCACTGCTCGAATGGAACAAGGGAGAAAGGTGGTTGTATGCCCTCACTCTGCCTGAGGTGTTCGTATACAGGGCCTTTAAGATGTTACTGAACTTCTCAGACACACCCTTTTTCAATAGACAATCCCAGAGAACAGTCCTGTCCAACGAATCGAAGGCAGCCCTGATATCAAAAAACACTACGATTGTTGGCCTGCGATAAGTATGACGATAAGTATGAACTGCCCTTCGAAAAATTCCGCCCATCGTCCAAGACGTCGACAGATGTTAGTGATTGGCATCCCGTCATCCTCGTAGATTGTTTCACTCACACCAGACTTCTTGCTGCCAGTAGCTCGGATGAGTTGGAAGAGCTTCCGGCAGTTACCAGATGCAGCTGCTGCTTCCATCTCATTAGCACGCTCCGACCACCAGGCTTCCCGGTCCTTACGCAAGCTTTGCCCAATTTCATTACGTAACAGCCTTCGTTTGTGGTCAAACTCACGGTCACCCGGAGTAGACCGACGGGCTTCCATCACTTGTAAGGAGCCAGAAGAAACCCAGTGCTTGTAAGCGGGACGTTTCGCGAAGCCGCAAGCGGCTTTACTCGCCATTTTCATGGCGTCGTGAAGAAGCAACCAATGCTCATCTATACTTTTCGGTGGGATGGTAGCTAGCCTAGAAGCTAGCTCCGCTCGATACTTACTTGCAACAGATGTTGCAGCCAGTTTACTAACATCAATCCGTTGGTGGTGGTCAATCCTTCGGCCACTGAAAAGTAAGGTGAGATTGGCGCAGACCAGGGCATGATCAGACTCCAGATAGGTACTCCAAAAGGAGCGGCAGTCTTGTACACAACCACGCCAGCGCTAGCTGATCGTGATGTGATCAATCTGTGTCTAGGCTTGAGATTCAGAGGGAGGACGCCAGGTGGCACACCGGCGATGACTGCGCCGAAAGTTAGTGCTAGCCAGAAACAGGTTGTGGTCTGTGCACAGTTGCAGCAAACGGTCCCCGTTATCTGTCCGGCGACCAACAAGTCCCCATCGGCCACCTAGACGACTCTCTTCTGTGCCTAGACGCCCGACCTGTGCATTCAAGTCTCCGGCTAGTACTACAATATCTGTCGAACGCGCTTTCTGGAGAAGAACTGTTAACTGGTGGTAAAACTCATCCTTGATTGCATCCGGGCTGCAATCTGTCGGGGCATAGGCGGAGATGACGAAAAGACACCGTTTCTCACGCCGATTTCTTCTCACTTTGATGGAACTCTCTAATCTAACAGCACATAACCGACTGTTAATGAGGATCCAATCGATTAGTGCTGCCTCAGCTCTAGCGCTTAGTGCAACACCAACGCCAACAAGACCAGACGAAGATGCCACAGGGTCCCCGGATAAGCGCACGTGGAACAAGCTCTTCGAGGCGACAGATGGAGAGCGGATTTGTAGTACTTCACTAGAGTCTTGAATACGAGTCTCGGATAGACAACAAACATCAACATTAAGACCTTCCAAAGACATAGCCAGCCCTATCTGTTGTCTGATCTGCATTAGTGTGCGAACGTTGAAGGAAGCCAGCTTGAACGGCGTACGTGGTTTCAGAAAGACTGCCTCAGTATTCATTATCGGTGGAAGCATTCACTTTCAACCAGACAGTAACTGGAGATCGTTTAGATAGGACAGATTTTCCACCATGGGTGAGCTGCTGCATAAGTTGAAAAGTAAGGTTACACAAATTGGGGATAAAAGGGGGTGAGTTAGCGATATGGTAAATAATAATAATAATAAAGGTAATAATAATAATAATGTTAATTGTCTTGCTTTTAGTATGACCAGGGATATTATCGTCAATAGAGTTCATAATTTCATTCATTTGTGTGTGGGCTGTGATACTGCCCGGGTGCCCAAACCGAAGCAGGTGGTTTTCTTAGGGGACCACACCCCGAGCCTTTGACCTAAAGGTCTGATCCACAAGGCAGTGGAGCATCGTAAGGAGATGCAGTCCCATGGTAGCCGTTGACCAACAATAAGTTCATTCGCCATTCGTTCCATCACGATACTGGAGCCCATGTGCACCAATGGTTTGGAATCAGGGTGTTCCAACTCCCCTAGGTGGACCCTCCGTGTCCACCAATCCGGTTATAGCGCCGGACATTCGCTTTTCGTCCTCTCACTTTCGTAAACAACACCCCCGCCACGAGAAGGCAGTGAGTAGGACTTCCTTGGCAGAGGCTATATATTCGCTGGCCAAGTGAGAGCATTTCGAGAGGGAGAGTGGACTCTCCCCACTTTCGACCGTACCAGGGCATTTGGGGGCGTAAAGGACATTCCATACCTACGGACACTGATTGGTAGCTGATTAAGTGGATATCATTGCACATTAGGACGATATCATCCGCAAACTCGAGGGTGAAAAGTACTTCTCCAGGTAACAGATCTACACCATCATGCCCCACATCCATCAGAGCTAATTCCAGAAAGTCATCGAAAGCAAAGTTGAAGGTGAATGGTGAGATTGAGCAACCCTGCTTAATCCCACTGTTCGTACGAGATAATTGAAGAGGGGTGGATGTACGCCCTTACTCTGCCTGAAATGTTTGAATGGTAAGCTTTTAGGGTGTTAATAAACTTCTCAGGCACACCCTTCTTCAATAGACAATCCCACAGTACAGTCCTTTCCAACAATTAGAGGGCAGCCGTGATGTCAAGAAACACGATTGATAGCTTGAAAAAAGCATAGAAGTGTGTTAACATTTGGCGGAGGAAGGAGACACGATCAACACATTTTCGGCCAGAACTAAAATCAGCTTGATCCTCGCCAGTCAATCTTTCTCGGGTTTTGAAGAAACCGGAGGGATGTCGGTAGACGTTATTAAATGGCGTCTCATCAGCTTGACAGATTGTTTGAAAGAGATTTCGATGGTTATCAGATGTAGCAGCCTCTTCCAAATCGTTAGCACGCTCGACTACCAGGCTTCTCAGTCCTTACGCAAACATTGCACAATTTCATTACGTAACGATCTCCGCTCATGGTCATACCTGGATTAGATCGACATGTTTCAACGGCTTGTAAGAAGCCTTCAGGAACCCAGTGCTCACAAGCGAGACGTCTCGTGAAGCCGCAAGCGACTTTACTCTCCATTTTCATGGCGTCATGCAATTGCAACCAATGCTCATCTATACTTTTCGGTGGGATGGTAGCTAGCCTTGAACCTAGCTCGGTTTGATATTTAGTTGCAACAGAAGCTGCAACCAATTTACTGACATTAATCTGTTTAGAACGATGAATTTGTTGGCCATTGAGAAAATTAAAATTAGCGCAAACAAGGGGATGATCAGAGTCCAGATAAGTACTCCGAAAGGAGAGGCAACCACGCCAGCTTTAGCTAATCGCAGTATGATCAATCTGAAACCAGGCTTGGAATGCAGAGGGAGGATGCCAGATGGCACATCGGCGATGACTATGCTGGTAGTTAGTGCTAGCCAGAAACAGGCTATAGTCTGGGCAAAGTTGCAGTAGGTGGTTACCGGTATCTGACATGCGACTAACAAGTCCTCATTGGTCACTCTACCGACTCTCCATTGTGCCTAGATGCCCAACCTGAGCATCCACGTCTCCGGCTAGTGCTACAATATCTGTCGGACGCACTTCCTGCAAAAGAACACTCAACTGATGGTAGAACCCGTTCTTGATCACATCCAGACTGAAATTTGTCGTGGTGCAAGAGGAGATGACGATTTCTTCGCACTTTGGTGGAAATTTCTCATCTAACAACACGTAATAGAGATCCAGCGTATTTGTACCACCTCAGCTCTAACGCCTGGTGAAACACCAACACTAGCGAAACCGGACAAAAATATCACAGCGTCCCTGGATGGACGCACGCGAAACAAGCTTTTCAAAGCGACAGATGAAGAGAGAATTTGCAGTACTTCACTATAGTCTTGAAAACAGGTCTCGGATAGACAAAATACATCGATCTTAAGAATTTCTAAAGACATAGCTAACCCTGTGTTGTCCGATTTGTATTAGTGTGCGAACGCTGGAGGCCAGTTCGAATGGTATACATGGTTTTAAAAAGGCTGGTTCGGAATTCATACTCAATGAAAGAATTCAACCTTCGACCAGTCAGTGACTTGATATCGTTTAGATAGAACAGGATTTTCATCATAGACAAGCTTCTGTATGAAGTTAAGAATAAAGGAATATACAAAGTGGAGATAAAGGAACTAACAAGTGACCCAATGTAAAGGCGACTATTAAATAGTTTTGAGTATGGTTTACGAAAATGAGATTTAAAGGACGAATACATTTCTAGTTTTGGTCATCTTTTAGTTTGTGTCGGCTGAGATACTGCCCGGAAGCCCAAAATGAAGTAGAACGCTTGGAATATCAATGATTTAAAACTTACAAATAAGCCATGATAGAGAAGCTTCGACTGGAGTTGTTTCCTCCGATATGTCGCTTCCATATAAACACAAGCCAGCTTCTAATCTCAAGGTATCACGAGCAGCTAATCCAATAGGTTTTACAGAAGAGTTCCTTACCAGAGCCTCAGCAATCGGGATGGCTATTTCTGATGGGACACTGATTTCGTAACCATCTTCGCCTGTGTATCCGCAACGTGTTAAACGAATGTCACTATCAGGAGTATTTAAACCGTATAATGAATCAATGAGCATACTTTCCATAAAAAAGAGATTTTCAAAGTTTTGTATATCAGAAGATGAGATACCTGCACGGAGAACTGAATATGCATCTGGCCCTATAAAAAAGTAAACGGGTATTTGTCAAGGAAAAATAACAGGTAAAATTTACGAAATACTCGACTACTTTCAAAAATTCAACCACCACTCATAATTCATATAGTAGAACAACTACTAGGGATCTACGGAGGTTCGAGTCATTTAATTAAAAAAGACTTCAGTTTTAAATATTTAAGCTGTCAACAACGATTGCTACAAATGACAACTCACTCGATACATTAAATAGCTTCTGTAAAGCTGTCATTTTCCGAAGTGTATTAACATTGAAAACCGGCTTAGTTGGGTCGTAAGTTGTACATAATCATTGTAAATTTACATTTTATTCAATTTAACCTATAAACGAGCTAAGTCATCAAACAGCCAATACCGAATTTGGTAAAGTAACGCACTTATATATAACCTGTAGTAACAGCTTTGAACCAACCTTCAATAAGTGTACAGTGCGGTATCGCTTTTAAAAATTGACCTTTTTGTAAACATTTATACACTTAATTAACTAAGTTATAGAAAAAAGACCTATTTTCACTTTACAGACAGAAATTCAATAAACATGTTCAATTTTCGATGCTTTACACTATGGGATGGCAATGGTTAGATAACTATTAGAAGTATCAGAGTATTGGCCGTCCTTTTTAGTTTGAGGTTTCTCATTGGTGCGAAACTCTGACTGGATAGCGCCTGGGGTATCCAGAGTTAAGGATAAGTGTAGTACTATCCAGTTTGTGGTTTCAACCAACTTAGAAAGTGTCGCAGCAATTTTTATACCATTAGACAGAACCGGAATAACTTTGGACTTGATCACAAAACCAGTCACGAGCCAGCACTGGATTATGAAAATTGGTTACAAGAGGCTGTAAGTGGCACAGTACACAATCGGTCGCAGACGTGATCGCCTTTTCATTGTGAAGACCAAAAGTCTCGTTGTTCTTCAATTACCTTCTACCGTGACCAATATTACTTTTGTCAATTTCAACACATCCTCAGTTTTATTGACTGTTTATTGTTGATAAATCTGTTTATGTACAGTCTTTGATGTTCATAAATATTCTTATGTGATCTCTTCGGTCTTGTGAGCGGCCATCAACTAGTCATATCATATCACTGAGTATAATCTATCGACTGACACTTCTTCCCACCTTAAATTCCCTCTCGAAAGTATTATATCTTCCTCCACAATTTTTAATGCAGATTATAAAAATTAAAGTTCTAACGCAAATTAAATTACTTATACGAAGATAAACAGAAAAGGAAATTATTACCAATGTTTTATGTACCAACTAATACGTTTGAACGACCTGTTTTGTGACTAAACATTTCGTATCACAACTTGACATGGCTAGAGCTAGGACAGCAACCCTGACAGGTGCTAGAAACAACAGTAAACTGACTGGTGCAATTTAAATACGTTTTGGTATATTGAAAATGCCTTGTAAACAGCTACTTTAAAAACCTGGAACTTAAAGGGAAATTTTACCATGAACTAAGTGGTTCTTATTATCTTGTCCTGAAAATTTAAGATAATTATAATAAGTATTTCCCATTAGAGATTACTACATACAATTTGGTACTCTTTGATTATTTCCTATTTGCAAGTAACTCGGACCTTCAGAACATTTATACAGATTTAATATGACAAAGAAATTCAACGACAAACAGCGTGCAATACAACAAAAAAGAGTATCATTCCGAGTCGCTAATATTCATATCAGGACGAGAAAAAACTGGCAGGAAAGGGAAAGTGAAAGTATTTATACCGATAGTAGTAGAAAAGTGATCTGAAAACAAACGCAATCTAACTAGCAGTGAATGATCAAGTACCTAAAACAGCTGTTCACACTAAAAGACTGGTTAACAACTGATAATAGTGAACCCTCAATGCCCAAAAGCACTTACACGGAATTATTAGGGTGGTTTGTAATTTATAATGAGAGTTGCACTGTGTTATAGTTTCTCTTATTATGACCCAGTTATTTCTATTGTTTAGTATTCTTGGACACCAATTCACTCAACAAGTCCCCAAATCAGAACACGGTTGAACAGGAACGAAATTACGCTCCAAATAACAAGGGTAGATGGAAGTAAGGAACGCAACAAGAAAAACGTTTGTATATTTATAGTTTTTACATGCGAAGATTCTAAAGTGTTCTCCAAGTATTGACTTGCACTGATTGGATAAGAAATAGCCAGTCAGCGTGCACCAGCGCAATCGTGCACGAAACATGCTTTAATCCAATATACATCCCGCTAACACTGTGTAAAAATTCAGTGAATACAGATGGGAATAAATCTCAACTGCAATTAACAGATCGATGGTTAAGTATGACGATGTTATTTGGGTTTATCTTAACAAACATTTAATACTGGACCATTCATTTAGGACTTTCGAAAGGTACGAAGAACAGTTGCTAGGACCGCTTAGATTTTCTTCTCCGTATAGCAGATGAGTGCTGTATTGCTAAGGTCTGTTACCTTCATAAAATATAATAAAGGACTACCTTCTGACAATCAACAAGCTTTTGGATGAACATTTGCCCCCCAAATGCCCTGGTACGGCCGACAGTGGGGAGAGTCCATTCTACCTCTCGAAACGATCTCACATGGCCATGCGTATACAGCCAGTCAGGGAAGTCTCACTCAATGCCTTCTTGCACCAGGGATGTTGTTTACGAAATTGAGAGGACGTAAAGCAAATGTCCTGCGCTTTAACCGGGTTGGTTGACACGGAAAGTTCACCTAGGGGAGTCCGGAAACCCTGATTGCAAACCAATGGTGCACATGGGCTCCAGTATCCTGAGGGAAAAATGACGTATGAATCAATCGTTTGTCACCGGCTACCATGAGACTGCATCTCCTTACGATGCTCCACTGCCATGTGTATTGGACTCTTAGGTCAAAGGGTTCGGGTGTGGCTCCCTAAGAAAACCACCTGCTTCGGTCTGGGCACCCGGGCAGTATCACAGCCCTCACACAAATCAAATGAGATTTGTGCGGCGCATATGTATCTGGTGCCCCTTTATACCAATATTTATGTTTAAATAAATAAATGGATGGACATAGTGGCTCTCATACTTTACTTGCTTCTTATAGATACAATGTTTTTAGACCATGTAAGGAAACAGAGACAAACCACTTGTTTAGTTCCAGGCATTTTAATTATTAGTTAATAAAATAAACCACTACATCTACCTAAAGAGCAAATGAAGTTTGAGAATATTCATATGAGTGAAAATTACTTTAAGTGGAACCCTAACAAACTCTTACGTGTGAGTAAGGGTACAATGACATTACTGCATTTTCTTAGTATTTAATAAAAATGGCTCATTGCTGAAAGATAAAACCCGTGACATGCTGGCATAAGGAAATACATACTCTACCAAAAAACTACTAGGTAGTTAACATAAAACAAGTTAGTTCTAGTATAATATGGTGTAAGATACCCCTACTCCTCAAAAATTGTGAATCTATGCTGAGCACACTCTATGCAACTTGCTTCAAAATTGTATTAATTAAAAAGAAAAGAATATTCCTCGTAGGAACCATGTAAGCTACTTTAAATGAAGCTTTACAGGATTGATATTGACTATACAAGACAAATTACCTTGCAGTGCTAGGAGAGAATGGTTAAGAACTTTAATATTTATTTCTTTACCATCATTTACGCCTTTAGTCATCATTTCCTAAAAACAAACGAATTACTTCAATTACTCTCTTACTGTAACATGAGCTATAATCTTTGATGAACATGCTGCATTTGAAACGATATATAAATAAGGTTCTTTGCATTTCATTATGATGGTATCATCTAGTATTCCGCCACTATTCAACAAAAATACAGAGAGAGTTCCAGATGAAATAGGCAATTCCTCAATATCCGCACAAGTGAGGGATTCTAAGAAGCTTACTCTATCCTTTCCAGAAACTTGCATCTGTTGTAAATGAATATAAGTAAAATAACTTGCCTGCAACATATGGGAAACATCAAAAAGACCGCAATGTTGACGTACAAACTGATGACTATCAATGATACTTTGGTCTGCGTAGTGTAAGGGCATGGAAAAATTGCAGAAATCAATCATTTTGGCTTTTTGTGAGATATGAAAATCATAAAGTGGCGTTCGTTTTAGGATTCCATTGCTAAATGATCGTAAGACAGTTATGCAGAGCCTGCAAACTCGAAGTGGAAGTCTCATCTCAAAAAGTGGTCAACGTTTTCCGAGGTTATTATGAAATGTATATCCAATGATTTTTGTAACGACAAAAACCACATTTTTTTCCTATTTTTCACATATTCATATTCAATATATATTATTACTCTGTATCAATGGTAACGAAACGCATATAATTGTTTGGTTATATCTAACATATGTACACTACCGCGATCGTTGAAACATAAACACTTTTTCCGCCTTCAATTTTTCTGCTTTATTGGCTACTACCTTTGATAGAAGATTATGGTAGTGTTATAACATCCTGTCAGGTCTTCCCACACTACGTTAGAGATTTGGTCCGGATTATTATTAAATAATGCTGTTGGATTTAATCTTTCTCATTACGCCGTTGGTGCCACCACATACAACGGAACTTTTGTCAATCAGGTGAACACATTTGTGGTTGATATTTCAAAGATCAGCTTACAAGTAACATTCATTTCTTAACAACTGTTATCATTTTGTTGTTTTTGTATTTTGACTGTAATTTGTTACTTTTTGCGTTACTCACATACAGGCGCTTCGGTTTGTAATGTTAATTCTTTTCGATATATCATTGACAACCTTGCGTATTGTTATATCTTGAATAAGCGTTTTTGCTGGGATCCACCACAAATCTGGTGAGCCCGTACATGTTTCGCAAAAACTGTAACTTATAAACATTGTGGCGTTACTTTTCCTCTTGATGATTATTTTTTGTACATTTGTGATGCATTCATCCGAATCTGAAGGCATTAGCCAGGATAGCCATTCAAAAGAGTTACACTTTCTGAACCTGATAAGCGTGCCCTCATTCAGTAGAATAAACCTACGTATTTGGTTTGCACAGGTGGAAGTACAGTTTCAGCATCTTAACATACGTCCACGGACGTCAAAATACTCTTTTGTGCTTGACATCTTGCCGACAGAAGGATCATTTGAAGTATCGGATCTTGGAGATAATGTCCCTGCATTTGATGCCTATGATCAGATGAAAAAAAATACACCAATTGCTGCATGAGTGCGAGTTAGGTGACGGGTCACCATCTCAATTATTACGCCAGATGAGATACTTGGTTGGACCTTATAAGGTTGGTGGTTCATTTTTTTTTAAAAATTAATTACAACGCTTACCGACGATAGTCAGGCCAATTCTCTGTGCTTCTAGCCAATCTTTAGATTTAGAGAGTCTATCCAGCATGGCTGACAGGATTTTAGAAGTAACACCTGGTATGACACCTCACGTACAGATGGTATCAGAACCACCGGCTAGCGCGCAAACCCCGAACATAGAATCGTTAACAGTGGAATTAAGTGACCAACGTACACACCACGCACGCACTGTTTCCAGTCTTGAAAACAAGCTAGATGCATTACAACCATTAATTTCCAAGCTCACATCTCGAAGGTCTTACTCCAGATCCCGACACACCACAAGAACGAATAAATACGACGACCATATCTGTTGGTCCCATGGTAAGTATGGCGATAAAGCTAAGAATTGTGTTACGCCTTGCAGATTTCCAAAATCTTTCTCCTTGCCAAAACGTATCAACCAGGCAGTAGTAGTGACAAATGTTCATGGTCGTGCACTTAGTCACCTCTTCCACTTCCTTTACAAGACTTCCAGCTATAAATTCTCAGTAGACACCGGGGCCGAAGTTAGCGTTATTCCAGTTACCTGAGCACATAGACCTACTGATAAACCTGAAAAACAATCATTAAGAGCGGCTAATAAAACTGAAATTAAGACATTTGAAGAAGAAGTCCTGACATTATACTTCGGAATAAGATGTAGCCTAGGCTGGGTGTTTATTATCGCTGATGTCCATCACGTTGCAGACTTCCTAAGCTCCTACGACTTAGTAGTTGATGCTAAAAAACGAAAACCTATCGATGCTTAAACAAAACTTCGAGTTCTGGGAATTCAGTCGGACTATCACATACATGGTGTTAAAATCAACACCCCGGCAAACTATATATTCGCTAACATTTCATTCAGACCTCCAGAGATAACGAAACCAGAATGTAGTGGAAACACTATCCAACATACTGTAGTACATCGAATCATCACAAAAAGCCAACCAATTTTCGCACGTCCACATCGATTGCCTCCGGACAAGCTTACTTTTGCAAAAGCCGAATTCGAGAACATGATGCAACTTAGAATAATACGTCCGCCAAGTAACCCTTGTGCATCCCCACTCCACACAGTGCTTAAGCGTGATCGGGATTGGCGACCCTGTGTTAATTATCGGTCACTGAATATCTTAACGTTACCTGATTGTTACCCCATTACTCATTTGCACGATTGTTCGCTTACATTCCTCGGTAAGCAAATTTTTTAAAATCAATCTTGTTAGAGCACGTCATCAGGTTCCACTAGCATCCGAAGATATAATAAAACCAGCCATCATTATTCCTTTTGGCTTGCTTGAATTTCTGAGAGTGCCATTTGGATTAAAGAACGTCGGACAGACATTTCAACGTATTATGGGTAAGGTCACCAAAGGCCTAGATCTTTTTTTCGTGTATATCAACGATATATCAGTAGCTAGCAGTTCGCTCCATGAACATATTAGTCACCAATATCAACCATTTGAAAGATTTCAGAAATTTGGTATAGTTATTAATCCATCCAAATACATTTTTAAAGTTGAGAGCTTAGGGTTTATAGGTCACTCGATTGACAAACGTAAAGTCAAACCATTAGACACGAAAACTGCGGTCATCAAAAGTTTTCCAGAACCAGAGTCATTAAATAAACTTCGACGTTTCTTGGAAATGATTAATTTTTAGCGTCCGTTTATTCCACGTTCTTCAACCTTTAACAGAGGCGTTAAAAAGCAAACTCAAGGAGTCCATATTATTCTCCGTAGCGAAAGATGCCTTTTCTGAAGCTTAAACAGCGATTGCTTCTACTACCATGCTGATCTACCTAAGTCCTGACCCGGATGCAACACTAATTTTGTGTACATATACGTTCCAATCAGCATTGGTTGCGATACTGCAACAGCGAGTAAGTAGTAAGATCAAACCAATTGCTTTCTTTCCAAAGAAACCAGAACCAACCGACTTAAGGTAAAGAGTTGTTGGTTATTGACTTGGCGGTTTATTATTTTAAACATTTACTGCAAGGTTTAGATTTCGTGATATTCACTGATCACAAACCTTTGACTTACGATTTTAATGCCAAAACGACCGTTATTCCCATAGAGAAATTCGACAACTAGATTACATTTCCCATTTTTCAACCAACGTACAGTAAGAGGTTAATCAAATGTTGTGACAGTTTTTTATGACGTTTCAACGTCGACGCTATTTACTCCACCAAATGAATGGATTTATTAGACATTGCACGTTTACAGGCGGATGATTCTGATCTTGCTGCTTGCAAAAAACAATTCGGGTATAGTGTTAAAAAGTATTCTAATACAACATTCTGACTCTGTTATAATTTGTGATACTTCGACTGGATCACACACACCATTTGGGCTAATAGTGCATAGGAAAAACCTTTTTGATTCTATTCACTCATTATCTCATCCAACAATCAGTACTACCGTGAGACTAATCTCAGAAAGACTTGTTTGACCAAAAATGAACTGAAATATAAGGCGATGGACCAACAATTATTTACAATGCCAGCGCAGCAAAGTTGACAGACAAACAATCACAATACCGTAAACATTCAGTCTACCCGACCGTCATTTTTTACGTGCTGTTGTACTGATTTAACCTTACGTTATCAACTAGTAATGCGCAAGGGCACTTCTGTATGTACGGGACACCCATCCTTTTGCGAAAGACTGATGAGCCATATGAATAACATTAGGCCTGTTGCATCTCGACTAGTTTTCTTAAGAGAGCGAATTGGCAAGCAACTAGATACATTTAAATCCGTATTTGTTCGTGTTGACTCCGTAAGATTACGTTTACAACACCCTTATGAAGGACCTTATGAATTTGTAGAGAGGGAAGCAAAATATTTTACAATCAAGAAAAATGAAAAAACGAGTGTTTCAGCTGATGGGATAAAACCCTTTCTTAAAGTCTTAAACACACGGCGGCCGAAAGCTGTCCAAAGACAGCAACATTTGCACAACACAGCTTCCTGCATTTCCAGCTAATTCTTCAGCTACTTCTGTGAAATCAGCGCCCCTCACAACCGCTAATGCTGATATTACAGCTACTACAAATTTAGTTCCCAATTACATCAATTTATCTATTTTGAAAACAACTCGCATGGGAAAACAGTTACATCTTCTCTAACGTTTATTCATTACTAAATCTTTCTTCTATCACTTTCTATGGTGCAAGTAAATAGCTATATACTAAGACAGTTGCTAATAACATTTTTCAAACAATTTTTTAAAGGAAGCATTTCGTGTGTACTACTACTGATAAATTCATTATTTATCAGCCATAATTTAAAATGATATCTGAGGCATGGACTACCATTTATAATTTCTGATTTAGATGTATCTCTTGACAACTATTTTCTATGCAGAAGTGATAAGTTACAAGCTAGCGGCGGGAGCTGCCATATATACACCAATTCAAGCATAAACTTGCTAATACGTGATAAACAAGAACTAAATAAACTACGAAATTCTGTGTGGATGGTTCTGGGGCCCTCAGACTCAGTTTTTTTGCTGTGTTCACCGTCAACCCAAAGTATCAACAGCAGAAGCAGCAACGTTATCAGAACTATTCACATTAGTCTCACCCCCACCATTCAGACAAAATTATGTATGGAGACCTCAACAAGTTTGAAATCTCTTGACTTCGAGTCAAGCCACCAAAATGTTTCCAGCCATTTGTTGAGTGCTTAGTGCTTGATTAGTGGACCCGGTATACAAGTATCCCTGCCAGACATCAAAATATCTTGCATTTACATCGAGTAAAGTATGAATTGTAAAAATTCTTCCAGGTAATGGTCATGATAGTATCATCTACAGTCTTGATACGAAAACAGAAAACGTAAAACTACCACATTTTGTAGATTCCATTGCAAGTTTGTTTGTAAAAACTACCTAAGAAGCATTGAATAAGGCAATTTCTTTTTAACACAAACGTTACCGAATAACTGACATATTCTTTTACAACGACGGTTATACTTTCTATAAAAATATACATTGAGGATACTGAAGACCTAGGATTTTCAATAATCTATATTTACTGGTTCATACAC